TAATAATGCCTATTATAAGCATCCTTATTTAATTTTAAGTTTAAATAATGCGATTAATTTATATATATAAATGATATTTGGCACACTGTGACGTCAATTTAAAAAATCCTATTAATATCTATATATGCATCCTCTCTTACAATTTTAAGCTGAGATAATCTATCTCTTTTCAGATTCTTTTTTCTTCTTTCGTTTTTTTTTTAATGAAGACTATTAAAAAATATTTCAATGAATTTTTATAAAGGATATTTGGCATACCGTGACGTCAATTTATTAAATCGTATTCGTTTCATAGTCTCCATTAGATGCATATTCTTTTAATTTTAAGTTGACATAATCTTTTCTCTCTTTCTATTATTTCAATAAAGATTATTAACAAATGTATTTTAATAAATTATATTTAAAAAAATTTCTCATGCGTTATGGATGTCAACTTAAAAAAATTGTATTAATATAATACACAGTCATCAAAAGTGCACCAATTATAGTCATACTTGCCTAATTTCTATTGCGAATAATTTCTCTGATTCTTTTTTTCTCTCTTACATTTCTTGATAAATGTTATTAAAAAATATTTCAATAAATGTCAGAGGAAATATATATATTTTCTATCGTAGGAAATACGCGCGTGTACGTAACACGTGCGAAACGTTTTTCATTTCTCTTTCTCTTTGTTTATGTTTCCTCTATGTCTTCTGTTCTTTCATTTCTCGTATTTACTTTAACGAGTCAGTCGCAGTTCGTAACAGAGAAAAGGGACGGTCAAGGCAAAACGCAAAAAGGCTAGTATTAAATCTTAACTTTTAATTTAATTTAACTTTCTTTCTTTTTATAATTTCTAATGTGTGTGTGTGTGTGTGTGTAACGTATAATTATTTAGTTTTCCATTAGTAATAAGCTCAATTAAGATTGACACGTTAATTGGATTCAAATGTAATATGGGGAAAAAGTATAAACGTTGGAAATTTTTCTTGTTTTTTATTTTTTGCAAATTTTTAATTTTATCTAACACACAAACAATTTTTCTAATTCCTACTGATAAGTAACATACCAAACTATCTCTTATAAATGAGCGTAGAGGGAAGGGAGGGAGTACAAAAAAAAAAAAAATAGGATCACAGAGAGAGGAAAAAAAAAGAAGAAGAAGAAGAAATAAAAAGTGTTTGAAGTCAGTTATTATTTTCTGATATCTCTAGCAGATTACGTCACTCGGCGAAATGTTTTTAATCTCTGTATTTTTTGTTTCTCTGTCTTTCTTTTTTTTTTTTTTTTGCTTTTTCATTTTTTTCCATTCATTCATACCTGCGCTGCGAATATTTGAGACGTGCTCTCGCCTCATTAATTCGAGAAACGAGCGCTCTTTTCCCCCCCCCCCCCTACAAAGTCCAACCTTTTTACTCTTGTCGGAGATTTTAATTACTATACGCGCATTTTATTTCAACTTATATTAAAGATTTGCGCGAATTCGTTTGGTATACCTATCAACTCACCTATACTACTGATCTTTTAAACGTTAAGACATTGAAAAGTAAATTGGGGAAACATAATTTTTTTTCTGCAACGTTTATTTGAAAAAATAAAATTGTTGTTTATCGAGAAAACCAAGCAGTTTTAGTTATATATATATTTTTTTTTCTCTTTTTAGATAATAAAGAAAACAGATTGAATTTATAATGATATTAATACGTGACCGCATGTGAACGTAAAAATAATCTTAACCGTTAGCTCTCGAAGGTACTAAAAAACTGGTAGTAGTAAGATCGTAAAATTCAGCAGGTCAGGTTCTGACCCCCCTGTGAGTGTCATTTTATTCCAACTTATAATTCTATTCGTTCGTAAACTTGGCAATACGTCACGGAATTCTATGAGAGAAATAAGTAACATGGTTAATACATTATTATCGATCTTTCATTATGTTCGACATGCCACACGTAAAACATTCTTTATCATCTCTCTTTCTACACAAATAATAAAAAAATAAATATAACAAGTCAGAGAGAGATAAAATAAAACAGTGTAGAATGTTTGAGAAAATCATGTAAAACAAAATGAAAATAACCATTAGAAAATATGGATGGATTAAGAAATATCGATATTATTCTGTTCGAAATCGAGATGTCGATGTATATACAGTATGAGAGAGAGAGAGAGAGAGAGAGAAAGAGAGAGTATAATATAAGATACGATATGCACATAGATATCGAGTGTTTGCGCTCGATCGATTCTCTTATTCGGTCTCGTAGGCAGCTCGTAACGTATCGTTTCGGTAGATACGTTCAATGGTGTAACGGGAAATCGTCGGTACGGTTAAGGAAGTCTCACGTATCCATTGTATATAATGGAAGGTGGAAAGGTATCCCTGTAGAGTTGGTGCTAGCAATGTTGTGAGAGGGTAAGTTGAGAGAATGAGAAAGACAGAATAAGAAAAAGACAGAGACATAGACATAGAGAGAGAGAGAAAGGAAGAGAATAAATGTAATAGTAGTGGGAGTAGTAGAATAGGGGTAGTGGTGGTGGTGATAGTGAGTAGAGGGAGGTGATGGTGGTGGTGGTGGTGGTGGTAGTAGCAAAGTAGCAAGGGTGAGATAGGGCAGGAACACCGATACCATGCGCTCGCGTTATTATACGGTGAGTTAACAGCAAGATTGTTTCTCAAAGTTAATTTACATCTACGGGCCGCTACCACCACCACCACCACCACTACCATCACCAGCACCACCCCTCGAAGACACATCGCGTCGATGTTGCACTACTACAAGAAAGAGAGAGAGATATATAGGGATAGAATGAATACACACCATCCACGAAATTAATATTCTCTCTCTCTATTGAGACAACGTACACCGATGAAACGCGATACGCCATTGTCTCTGGCAAACGGAACGAAGCAAGTGTTCTACGACTAACGACTCTCTCTCTCTCTCTTTCTCTTATATATTATATATATACACATAGACATATACGAAATATCATACATAGATATAAAGCTTGTTATAATTAATATACCAAAAAGGGAGTTATATAGTTATCAAGGGATTATTTATGAAAACGATACCGTGACACCTAATTTATTTGATCATATGACCAGGTAACTTCGTTGATCCCCTATGATTAAATTCGTCCTTTTCATCGAGAGATTCCTTCTCCTGTTTAATTCGTATACATTTAACCGCAAATGAAAAGAAAAGAAAAGGAAAAAAAGTAAAATAATTAAAAGAGTTAAATCTTGTATGGAATATGTAGATAGGAATTTTTGAAATCTGATGATAGTGTACTTTAGTTCGTCTAACTTGTTAAAGTTTCGTTTGAAAAAGATGAGTAATATTTGCAGCAATCTAGTTCTCTCAAATATAATATATTCAAATATTGGATAAGTGTATGTTCGATAAAAGCAAGCAAGCAAGAAAGAAAAGACTAAAAATAGTAAAAGAGAGAAAGAGAGAGAGTACTTTTATCAAAAATTCATATATTTCCTTACATAAATCGAATGAAAACAAAGTCGAGTAACGGAAAGTATAATGATTGTTTAGTCTGAAAACAGAGAGAAAGATCGTTTAGGTCGTGATACTTTTTAGTACGAAGAAATATAATAAAAGAAAAGAAAGAGAAGAAGAAGAAGAAAGGAAGGAAGAAAAGATGGAAGTGAGCACGCACGCGTACGTTTAGTCGTTTTCTCAAGCTTTCACACTTTTTCGAGAAGTTTCATGGCACTCGAGCGAAGACTATTACCCATGGTGCACCGGGTGCTCGCGAATCTACTTCCTCTTTTCCCCTCTTTTTCCCCTCTTTTCCAAGAGTTTTGCGTCAACCCTTTCTTACTTATCCCCTTTTACCTAAAGATAATTGAGATAGTAGGGGAAATAAGTTTTACTCACTTTCTTATATTTTCTATCTGTCTTTCTTTATTATACAACATTTACCTACGCATACTTTTTACCGATAACGTCGTTTTATTATTGGCTAAAAAGTGTTTCTTCTTCTTCTTTCGTAGAATGCAGGAACGATTTGTGAATATATTTATTATATAATATTTTATATAACATCACTATGCGAGAAGAGAAAAATATTATCGAATAATACAAACCCCTTATACATCTTCTTTCAATCCGTGTTAAAAGCATCCTTTATCGCGTCAATCTTCCCAATTTTTTTTTTCTTCCATCAATGGGACGATTCGAAATTTTAAAAAAGAGAACAAAAATTTTGTTGTAGAAATTTGTCGAATCCATTTTATTTGTAACCATTCCTCCTAGTCACGTGTGGCTTATATCGACGAGCTATGAGAAGTCTTGAGATATTTAGGTTTCTGGAACGATCCAATTGGTCGATCAAACAAACCATCCTACCTACATATGCATAAATTATTACACTTCATGTATATTTTTACTCATGGAGAAATATTGTTGGAAAAATAATCCCTTTATTAGAATTTATTTCCGTCGTCTGGTATAATCCGTGCAATTTTATTCAATATTACTTTTTTTTTGACTATTCATATCGCATGTAGTGTTTTATTTTGGATATTTTTTATCGCAAATAGATACCATTATTTCATATATGTGTGAACTAATAAAAAGATGAGACTTTTCTCTTTCGAATAAATTCATTAACCTCTTAATATCGAATATTACTTTTCTCAAAGTTTTTACTTAAAATACAATAACGATTGAAAAAGTATCTCTTGCGCGTACACATATTATTATTAGATTAATGTCGTTGAAAGTTTAACGATATTAAAATAAAATTGTGATGGGGGAAATGATAAAGAAGAAATATTATAATGAACGCAACAACGATCGATCGATTCGAAGTTTCGAATCGAATTAGTTTAAGTGGAACGATTACTATTATCGGTTGATCTCTCGAATTGAGAGAAAGGGAAGAAAAAATAAAAGTTAAAAAGACATAAAAAAAAAAGGGATTAATCAAAGGAGGAGACCCTTTATGCCATAGCGTGTTGCCGTGACCACGAACAACTTGACTGAACGACCTTCTTTCAGGAAACATCAGCGACTCACAGTACATCACATACATGACAAGTAAGTATGCATGTTGTGTTGTCGACCGAAACATTTCTCTATACGTGTGTGTGTGTGTGAATGTGTGTGAGTAAATATATGGAAGTGTGTGTAAAGTCCTTTACGCGATTCGCTCGATTTATGTCTCTTATAAACGAGACGTAAATCGATACAACTAGGAGAAACACCTAGTTTTAGTTTTAGAACGGTAGTTTTCCAACCACGCGCAGGTCGCAGGTCGTCGACGTTCTAAACTGTTAAATTTACACGCGCCGGATTCATTTTATCGTAACTTTGCGTGTTATTTCGTTATACATTTTTTCTTTTCTCTGTTTCATTTTTCATTTATTTAGTTTTTCTTTAATTCTTTTATATATATTTTTCTTATAAGAAAAAACGCGCATTAAAGGCATTTATATTTTCTTCGTCCAATTTTTTTCTCACCGATTTTTTAACCCTTCCAACTTTCCATCTCCTCTTTTCATCTCACTGAATAATTTTTTCTCTCGAGCGCTTGATTTTCTATTATCTCGCTTTTCTCATTCTCTTATTATAACGTTTAAAAACACAAATCTACACATTTATATTATTATTTCAATAAAACGCACTTGTTGCGTTTCTCAATGCTTTAAAACGTTCAATCAGCTTTTCGATTACGTATTTAAACGGACGTAATTTATAAATAAAAATAATAATAATAAAAAAGAAGAGAAAAAGAAAATGACAATACGTACATTATGCGTTATCTTTATTTACCCGAATGAAAGTAAATAAATAAGCGTTAATTTAATTAATATCAACCTTCGTCTTCGTAATATAACGTTTGTGCATAATTAAATCGAAGATAAGCATAAATCAAAGTAGAGAAAAGAGACGGTTTATTAAAGCATATCGTACCCGTGGAATAATAATTATTACCTGCCACGTATTTCTCTCTTTTGTGGTTTTTCGTTATAAGGGTGTATATGAAAATTGGCTTCGTGAATCGGCCTGTTTTCGAGCGTCTCCACTCAATTTCACCCGCGACAAGCGGCCCTATCTAAATTTCAAATTCGTTAATGTGTATTTTTACACCGCGAGAGGTCCGACCACAGGAGAAAAAGAGAAAGAGAAAGAGAAGGGGACAGGTAGAGCGTGCACGCCACTTTTATCACCATCTCTCTCTCTCTCTCTCTCTCTCTCTTTTTATGTCTTTCTTTTTCAGGATGCTTTGAATTTCAAATTTGGCGCGGGAGCCATCGTGTCGTAGTCCATGCGTCGAGCAACTTTCGAATGTTTCTACCTCGCGCTTATGCACTGTCATTTGTTTTCCAACCCTCCCCCTCCCCTTTCTCTCTCTCTCTTTTACCATCGTCGTCGTCGTCGTCGAACAGCCGCGTCGCGGCTTTAAACCGGACCACCACCAGCATTACTACCATCACCACCACTACTAACACCACTACCACACCCATCGACCATCGTTCAACGATATCTGGCGCATTTTATTTACGACACCACAACCGTTATGTATCTCGATTGATTTCATGATTTATTCTCAGTTACAGAAAGAGAGAGAAAGAGTGGTGAGGGACGGGGGGAGAGAGAAGAGAAATTCTCTACAAAATGTATGGACCCCCGCCAGCAATGGCACGAATTCGTTTCATTGAAAGAAAACCTAAAGAAACTTTTAAAAAATTACTTCCGAACAATATTTATCGAATGGAATCGATTTGCTTGTTTTTTTTTCTTTCTTTCTTTCTTTCTTTCTTTTGGTATTAAATCGATTAAAATCCCCATTCTCGGGACTTATTTTAATCGGTAACTTTATTGTAATTCGTAACTATTTTTCATTACGTTAAAAGTTCGATGCCTTTGACGATAAAAAAGGAGGAGTGGAGTTAGGGGGGGGGGAGAGAGAACAAAAATAGAAAAGAAAAATTCGCTATTGGACTTTTAATAATATCGGCGGGAGCTTCGGAATTTGTAATTGGCCAATTATCTTCGATACAACTTTGTCAGAATTCCCTTTCTCTTTCTCTTTAATGTAACGAACAGTACGTTCGAGCCCTTAATTGCGATCGACGCATAACGTTGAGAACGATGACGACGACGACGACGACGATCGCAAAAGTTCTCGTTGCGTTGCAAGCACGATGGAAAATGGTAAAGGTGTGTACGCCATCGAACGAACGAACGAACGAGCCAAGTAACGAATGAACGAACGAACCAACGAACCAACCAACGAACGAATGAACGAACCAACGAACGAGCGGTTAATTGAAGCGCAATTAACCGCGTTAAAACGTTAGCTGCTGATTAGGCTTGCTAACCGTGTGCATACTACTGCGGATCTTTCTAATCTGTCCTTTCGAACAGTACTTTCTTTTACCCTGATGATCGTTCATCCTTTATTTCATTATTATTCGTTTAGCATATCGGTTTTTTCCTTTTTTTTTTTTTCTTTTTTCCCTTCTTTTCATATCCTTTTTTTAATTCTTCTTCTAATTCTTCCTCCTCCTCCCTTTTTTTCCCTTTTTTTGTTTTCGCTTCTTTTCTTTACTTTTCTTTTCTTTTTTCCTTGAACTTTTTTCCTTTTCGATGCCCGATCGAAACGTGATTCTTAATTAAGAACAATTCGATTCGCCGTTTGATATTAAATCGGCTTATTCTTCGTCCGTATTTTATATTACGTGTAACTAACGCGTACACTTTAATAAGACCGATAATGAAGTTTTTTTAATTCGATAACGAAGCAACTATACAATAACGCGAACAATTTTTCAATGATTTCGTTGATTTCTTTTCCTACATGCTAACGCTTTTCTTACTTTTCCATTTATTTTTGTTTTTTTTTTCTTTTTTTTTCTTTGCAATATTAATATTATCGTTTAAGTAAATTGTAATTGAAAGAAGTACGTCATGCGTAAATTGTGACTCTGAGATTATTTGAATTGTACTCAAGTTTCTTTTTCGTTTTTGCAAATATTACAATACTACGATTATATACAACCACATACGTAAACCTTAATAATCGAACTTATGTTTTTTTTTCCATAGACGGCACGGTATTTAAAAATTCTATTTTTTTCCTTAATTATTTGGAAAAATTTAGAGTAAAGAAATAAGTGAAGGGGTGTGTTTAATTAATAACAATATCGCGTTATATTTACATTATTAATATTTTATCATTTACATACTTCAAACTGCATTTATTCTTACTATAATAATAATAATAATAATTATTATTATTGTTATAATATATTATGTTTATATAGAAACATGATCCCTTTTTGACGGTAAGGTAAACGTAGGTTGTTGTTCGGTATGCATTTCCATTATTTCCCGTTCTAGAATATAACAAGTTTCCCGAGTGTACAAACAATAGGAAGCAACTCTAAAAACATAGTCCCTCGCGCGCGTTCACCAATAACGAGAATAGGAAGCGCATAGGGTTGGTTACGGCCGGTCTTCGGGTTCTCCTCTCCCCTTCTTCCCCATATTTCTTATCGATGTTCTATATACATGTGGTGGTATTATTAAGCGACATCGTGGCTAAGGACAGAGAGAGAGAGAGAGAGAGAGAGAGAGAGAGAGAAAGAGAGAGAGGAACGGACGGTCTCATCGACGTAAAAGCGGAAGCATCGAGATGGTAGAAGAAATGAATACAAGAGGGTGGTTGTGGGTGATGGTGGTAGTGTTGATGGTGGTGGATACCATGCAGAAACGCGTCCGCGACGTTGAGAGGAAGAAACATTAATTGTACGTTCGCTAGTAGAAAGTAATAAAAAAAGAGTCTAGAAATTCCCACATCGAATGTATTATTATAATATCTTATAGCTTTAACACACACACACACACCCCTCCCTCACTCCCTCTTTTCTTCATTTCGCTTAAATTGCATATCTTTCCCCATTACGTAAGACAGCTACCAACAGCAGACGCAAACCACGAAATCTTCTGGCTTTCATGATGCCAGTTGGCTCGGATGGTTTTCATCGAACGTCTTCGAGGAAAACGGGGGCGGGTCTTTTGAGAAGAGGTTTGAACTGTTGGATGACGACGACGACGACGACGACTAAAACGGGGATGGGAGTTGGGAAAGAGAGAAAGAGATAGGGTGGGGGTAAGGGTAAGGGGTGTAGCAGAAGGTACCTACTTATTTAGAATATTGCCGGCATACATTTGCATAAATTTAGTACAGGCCCGCCGGCATTCTTGGTCGCATCCCGTTTGGCATTATACACCCCCGTGGAGACCCTCTTAAAGAGGGGGTGGTAACGGGAGAGTTGACACAGACCCTGCAATTTCACCCTCTCTCCCTCTCTCTCTCTCTCTCTATCCCTTCTTTCTCTCTTGCTGTCTCGTTCGTTCGTTCGTTCGCTTGCTTGCTTGCTTGCTTGCTTGCTCGAAAGCTCGTTCTTTCCCTTTTCAACGCACGGTGCCACACCATCAGCGTCGCGTTGCTCGTAAAGAAACTTTCTCGTGTTGCCGCCTGAAAGCTTCCTGGATGGCAAAAGGAGGTGGAGGTGTAGGAGGAGGAGGAGGAGGAGGAGGAGGAGAAAGAGGTTAGAGGAAGGCCGATGAAAAGGAGAAGAAACGAACGTTTGCAAAGCGTCACGGGTTGTGCATTCAAGGTGATACGCGATGTCCGTAAATTCGACCCTTTTTTTAAGAACTGTTCTTTTCTTTTCTTTCTTTCTTTTTTCTTTTTTTTTTTAATGTCTAGATACCACCCCCTCCCCCCCCTGCTCCGTCTCTTAACTTTCAACTCTTTGGTCTACTTTTATTTTAATTTGTTTTTTTTTGTTTTATTTTTGTTATTTTATTTTCTTTTTCTTTCTTTTCGAACAAATGATTATAAAAACGCGATTCGAATTGAGTTCTTATTTCTTTGTCAGACTTCGAGAAATGTTCGTGTAAACATTGCGACGCGTCGTTCCTCGCGTTCGCGTTCCTTTTTAAGTTGCAACCTTTCGTCTCTTTGTTTTACAGGGTGTATTGTCAACCGTTATTTCTCCGTAGCTGCTTTTATCTTTTCACGT